AACCCTTGCAAGCTGTTACTCAGAAGAAAGCCAAGGTGCAGCCCACCAGGTCCTGCATCCTTCACTCTCCTCTTTCTCCTCTGCCACTCCCCAGCCCACTGGGCTTCTGATTGTTTCTGCCCCAGGACCTTTGTACATGCCCTTCCCATTGCCTGCATGCTCTTCCCAAAGTACTCACACCACCCCCCATCATCTCTGTTCAAATGTCACCATTTTGGGAAGGCGTTTGCTGTGTTATTTAAAAATGTACCCGACCGACACTCTCCACCCACTAGTTTCCTATTTCTCCATTACTTTCAGCACTGTCTTGCATAGTGAATGTTTTATTTATTTATGCATACTTTTCTACCTCCACTTGATGACCATCAGTTTCACAAGGATAGAAATTTCCTTCCTTCCTTTTCTACAGTACTGGGATGGAACCCAGGGCCTTGTGGAAGCTAGGCAAGCGTTCTACCACTGAGCTGCCTTCCCAGCCCAAGGACAAGAATTATTTTGCCAGTTTTGTTCATTACTGTGAACAAGCATTAAGGACAGGACTAGAACACAAGAGGGGCTCAATAAATATCCATTCACAGCCAGGTGTGCAGTTGCACACTTGTCATCCCAGTCCTCAGGAGACTGGGGCAGGATGATCAGTGTGAGTTTGAGGCCAGCCTGGAATGCATAGTGAGACCTTGTACCGCCCCCCCCCCCCGAGTAAATAGAAAAATAAATGTTCATAAAATGGATAGATGCTAACAGTAATAAATTTCGGGGCGTGGGAGTATTGGAATTGAGCCTAGAGCTACATACCTCACTCTCTCCCTATTTATTAGTGAGGTGAAGCCTCAGTAAATTATTATGTTATCTAGGATGGGTTCAAACTTGTGATCCTCCTAACAGCCTACGAGGATTATAGGTGTGTGCCATCACCTGCAGTTGAAATAGCAATTTATTTAAGGGCATGTTTTCTGCTAAATTTTAAAAAATATTTGTTAGTTATTTTTCACTACTGGGACTCAGTCCTAGAGTTTTGAGCATGCTAAGCACATGCTCAACCACTGAGCTATACATCTCCAGCTCCACAAATTTTGTATTTCTTTTTTGTTTTGAGACAGGGTCTTGGTATGTGGTCAAGGCTGGCCTTGCATTCAGGGGGATTCTCCTGCCTCAGCCTCCTGAGTGCTAGTATTATAGTCATGCCCCACATAACCCAGGTCCCAGAGAGTTTTCTTAATCACTATGCTCTTCAATTGTCCTGACCCATTATCAAACCAGCTGTCTCAATACCTCCAGAGATTTCCCCAGCTTTCAGTCTCAGGACACTGAACCTCTGAGAGGAAGTCTCTTGCCCAAGTGCAGAGTGGAGGCCAGGGATTTGGCTCAGTGGTTTCGCTGCCTGCTGCGCAAGCTCAAGGATCGGAGTTCGATCCCCGGTACCAAACAAAACAAAACAAAACCAAGTGCAGAGTGGAGGAGCTGAGCTCAATCCGGGGCTTTCCTGCCCTAGGGCCCCCCCCTCTGCCGCTCCTGGTGATGGGCTGGTCCTTGGGGGCTGGCTCTGGAGAACTGACACGATGCAGGAACAGCTTGCTCCAGCTGGGTGGAGCTGAGGCTGCACTTCGCCTCCATGGCTCTCGTGGGGTTTGGTTTGGGTGCTTAGCACAGAGCAGGGACCTGAGACTGCAGACTCACCTGTGTTCTGGTCACAAGCTGGGGCCGAGACATGTTCATGTGACAGTGTGAGGATAACCATGACCCACCACTTGTTTCATGCCACTAACACGTGTGTGTGTGTGTGTGTGTGTGTGTGTGTGTGATCTGTGTATCTGGACATCCTTACCCGTCTATTCAACCAGTCCCATTCTTACGCCTTTTTTACAGTTGAGGAAATGGAGGCACAGAGGGGCTAGGTCACTTGGTAGAGAGTGGTCAAGCTGAGACTCAAACCTGGAAGCAGGAATGCCTAGAGAGGACTCAGAGGTCACTAAACAGTGAACTGGTTGGGCATGGTGGGGTATGCCTGTCATCCCAGCCACCTGGAAGGCTGAGGCAGGACTGCAGTTTGGAACCTGCTATGGTTTGGGTCTGGATGTCCCCCCAGAGCCTCATGTGGCCACAGGCTTGATCTAGAGAGTGTGAAGTTGGAAGTGATTCACGATGCAATGCTAGGCTCAAGGGCACTAAGATTAAGGGTGTGAGTGCTACCTGCCCGAAGTAGTCTGAAAAAGACAAAAGGGGCAGGGAGATGCTGGTAACTTCTCGTTACCTTTGCTGCCTTGTGTGTGCCCTGTTGTTTCTGCTCTGCCACGCCTGTTTGTCATCCCTGCCTTGGAGTTGGTTGATTATGGCCTGAAACCTCTATGAACTGTAAGCCAAATAAACCCCTTCCCCTTTAACTTTTGGGTGTCGGGTATTTTGTCTCAGCAATGACAGAAAAGTAACTAACACAGAACCCAACCTGGGCAACTTAGAAACTTAGGGAGACCTTGTCTCAAAATCTGAAATTTTAAAAGAAGGGCCGGGGATGTAGGTCAGTGTGAAGGCCCTGGAGCACAACAAAATAAAAACAACCTGGCTGCTCTTGCTTGGGTAGGGCTGGAAGCTGTCAGCACAGTCTGCTGTATGGGGTGAAGTACTTGGGAGGTACAGTCATGAAGGAAAATGGACTCTGTATATCATTTCCGCAGCACCCGGGGGGAGAAACCCGGAATGTTGGAAACCGATGCCTGGGTGGGAGGGAGGATTTTCACTCTGTGTACTTTCCAGTTTATTTTGATAATGCAGACCAAAAGTGAAACTTAAAAGTTAGAAATTATGCTTATATAAGGGCAGATTCTGTCTTGGATGCACAAAAACATGTTTTTTAAAAAAGGGAGCAGGGTCGGGGACTTAGCTCAGTGGTTCTGCCTGCCTCGAAAGCGAAAGGACCTGACCTGAGTTTGATCCTTGGTACCAAAGAAAAAAAAAAGAGAGCAGACTTATGGTGCCATTGCTGGTCTGACTTGATGCAGGGAAAAAGGGACCCTCAGGCTCAGTAGAGGGAAGGAGCACAGCTCTCCCCACAGGCTGTGCATGTGCCTGTGACAGTCCTAGGGACGGGACCCAGGGTCCATGCACATGCTAGGCAAGCGCTCTACCACTGCTAGCACTAAGCTACACTTACTTTTTCTCAATCAGGGTCTTGCTGAGTCACTAAATTGCCCAGGCTGGGCTGAAACTTGCAATCCTCCTGCTGTGGCCTCCTCTGCAACTGGGAATAAGGCCTGTACCACCACACCTGACAAATGTGCATTGAGTTTTGCTGTTTGTTTTTACAAAAATGCTGGGGTGGATCCCAAGGCCTCAGAAACACTAGGCAGGTGCTGTACACAGAGCCTCACCCCAGCCCTACTACAAAGATATGCCCCCAGAGTCCCAACCTGCTCCCTCCCACCCAGGACTCCCAGGCTCCAGTGCTTTTGCTCGGGGCAATTCTCAGGGGCCCCTGCTGCAGAATGAGGGAGATGTGCCCCTGAGGCAGTGAGGGAGACCAGAGCCTGTTCTGCACTGAAGGAGTTTACCCAACCAGGTCATCTAGCTGACTCAAGGATGCCCTTCCCAAGGTTGCTCTCTGCTCTGATGTTTCAGGGCTCACCTGGGGGATGGCAACTCCTGGCATCATGGGGCAGCTCGGGGAGAAGTGACCCATGAGTCACACTTGCTAAAAGCCCTCTAGACCTGTGCTGCATGACAGACACTAGCTACGTTGCAGGTGTAGCTGCTGAGTGCAGTGTTTGTGGCTGGAGCGACTACAAAACTATTTAGCTTTACTCTTTTAAATAATGTAAGATAAGCCAGTCATGGTGGTGCACACCTGTTGTCCCAGCACTTGGGAGGGTGAGGCAAGAGGACTGCTGTGAGTTCAAGGCCAGCCTGGGCTATGTAGTGAGACTTTGTCTCAAAAAAATTAAAGTAAAAAAGCCAAAAATATGGGCCGGGGATTTAGCTCAGTGGTTTCGCCGCCTGCTGTGCAAGTGCAAGGACCTGAGTTGGATCCCCGGTACCAAAAAAAAAAAAAAAAGCCAAAAATAAATAAATGATACAGAACATTCCCATATCTGGGCATGGTACTGCATGCCTGTCATTCCACCACTTAGAAGGCTGAGGCAGGAGGATTGCTGTGAGTTCAAGGCCACCCTGAACTGTATAGCAAGACCCTGTCTCAAAATACAAACAAAACAGAACATTCCCAATCACAGCAGGGTCCTCTTGGGTGGTGCCGTCTCTGGACTTCCAGAGGCTGTTTTAGCCGGATGGAAAAATTAACTCTTCCATTGGCTTTCTATGCAGTTAAATTAATTTTTCCTTTAAAACATTCTTCAGTATGGCTGGGTACTCAGTGCAGGGGTACAGTGGTGCTTAGCAGGAAGAGAAGCCTTGTGTTCCATCTCTGGCACTGCAAAACAAAATACACTCAAAAACGAAGAAAATCCATTTTGTTGCAAAACATTTTTCTAAGCCTGTGCAATTACTTACCCTGTAATAAAACCAGTTCCTTAAAAGAAATGACAGAGCAAACACATCAATGGCCAGCATATCCAGTGGGGCAGGAAATGGCTCTTCTCAGGGTGTGGCGGCCCTGGCCTGGCTCCCGGCAATGGCGGCTGGAAGCCTAGTTCTGGTTTGGCCGGGCCTGCCCAACACCCAGCCTGCCCCACCAGCACAGCAGCCACAGGCAATCAGGAAGTACACTTTGCCCCTCCCTGTGGCCCCAGGGATTGAATCCCCAGAGGAAGTCAGGAGCCCCAAGGAGTGGAGACCATGGCCCTAACCTTCCCAGGTAGGGTGGATCCACTTCACTTGGGCACCCAGGGCCTGGCTGGGCTGCTGTCCCCTCCCAGAGGGTGGTCAGGCTTCTCTTGCCCTGTAGAGGGTCCCTTTATGCTTCCTCCAACCTGCTTGCCTTTGGAGGGGTGCCCCAGCCCACCTCACCCTACCAGCAGAGCCCTCAAACAAGAGTTGTAGAACCACTCCCCCGAAGTTTAGCATCAGTCTTTAATGCTGTCATGCTGCATGACAAGTCACACACTTTGGTCTGTGTTGGCAGTGGCAATGTACAATGAATCTAAAGGTCTGAGCACCAGACTGGTCTCCAGAGAACAGACGGTTTCATTCTGACCTCTCCCCACCCACAAGGTTTCTTCTGAAATCCATTATGGCCCTGTACAAAGAGGATCAGCTGCCGTGGACTATTTCTGAGTGCACACCAACTGTACATGGAATTATAAAAACATATTTACAGACGATCCACAGTGCTCCTGTAATCAGAAGCAAAGACCCTTTTATCAAAAGGGATTATATCTAGGGCTGTGCAAAATTCAAAAGGATCAGATCCCTTTGAGAGTCCAGAGTCCATTAAACAAAAAATTTCCTGGGCCACTGGTAAGCCCCAGGCACACCAGAGGATCTCCTTCTGGAGCAGGCACAGACTGTAACCCAGAAGTCAATGAAGTGGGCTTCACAGGAGCTGCAGGTGAGGATCTGGCTCTGGCCAGGTTCCCCAGAACCCTGGGGAAGAGAGAGCTTCGAGATTTGTTCACTGGAGGCCGGTGCCTTTGGTCCTGCCGGGACAAGGTATTGCTCGTGGTGCCAGCCAGGCAGTTCTGCAGTTGGTTCAGGTTCTCAATTTGAGGTGGCCAAAGAGAAGACAGGATTCTTCAGGGGAAGAACAAGGCGGGAGAGACAAATAGAGAATAAAACAGGAACTCATCACACAACAGCGACTGGAGTGCACAGGATCTGGCACTTGCCTCACAGCTGGAAGCAAAGGGATCAAGTCCAGCTGTGGACCCACCTCTCACCCAGGCTGAGCAGGGGCAGGAGGAGCAGAGGATGGGCCCACACCAGGAGGGCTGAGGGACCCAGCAGGGCAGACTGGATGCCTTTTCCTGCTGGCCCCAGCACTTGCCACCCCGTCGCTGGAAAAACCACCCAAGCACAACTTTTACAGATTGCAATATATTCTCTGGAAACACCGAGCAGCACAATAGCCCTCCCTGGGTCCTCCCGCCCTTGCACATCCACAGGTAGGGGTGGGGGGCATGGTCTGGAGACCCTTGAGCTCTGGAAAGGTCCCTGTCAGTCCTCAGGAACACAGCTGGCTATATGGGAAGAACCTGCTCAAGGATGGTTCTAGACGTCTGTGGAATCCTTTCTGGGAAAGTCACTTCAAACTCGATGACAAGGTCTCCTCGTTTTTCGGGTGTCTTCGGGAGGGGGAGGCCTTCTCCAGGAACTTTCCGCCTCATGCCAGGCCTGATGACATCTTTGAACACGACGGGTATGGTCCTGCCATCCAGAGTAGGGACGTTCACCGTACAGCCACAGAGAGCCTTGGAAAGCAAAGGGGTGTTAAATGGGAGACATTTAGGAAGTCTGACTTCTGTCCAGGCCTCTGCACCTAAAACTACCCATGTCACCAGCACAGAAGGCCCAGCACCACAGATCCTGGCCAGCTGGCTGTGTGCTCAGAAAACATTTCTGGAGCAAAGACAGGACAGCTGGGGGAAGCAGCCCCTCCTCCCTCCCTGCAAGGCACAGCTCTCCTGTCCTTACCTCCCGAAGGCTGATCCTGGCAGGATAGATGACGTCAGAGCCATCTCTCTTGAAGATATTGTGTGGCTTGTCCTTTAAAACAAAGACAATGTCAGCCGGAATGTTGTTGGAGGTCTGGTCTCCTTCCTTGGGGAAGGTAATTTTGGTCCCTTCTTTCCAACCCTTCTTCACTTCGATGGTCAGGATTTTGTCTTCGTTTCGAATGCTCTTTCCATCGGGGTTGAGCCGCTTGTGGGAGATTTTCATCTTCTTGGTACAGCCACTGTAGATCTCTTCAAGGGAGACCCTAAGGTCGTGGGTGACAGGGGGATCTTGCTTCTTTCGGGCAGGTTCCTGGGCAGGGCGGGAGCGACTGAAGTTCATATTGGTGAAGCCACCCATGCCCATGGGAAAGCCAGAGAACGGGTCATCAATGTCCATGCCTTCTTCCCCATTCCGCTGCCCAAAAAAGTTGTCAAAGGGATTTCTCCCACCGAAAAACTCCGCAAACATAGCATGTGGGTCTCCGTGGAATGTGTAGCTGAAAGAAGTCCCGTTCGTACCGCCGCTGCCACCACCACTGGGGCCACTGCCCTTTAGACCTGAAAAGCAAGACCTGTGTCAGACAGCTGGCCAGGTGCTTCTCTTCAGGAGCTTCCTGAAGGGGAAAGCCTGGGAAGCCTAGGGGAGGAATGTTTAGCCTGTCATGGAAAAGTGAGGAAGCAACCCAAGAATTCATCTCCCACAGCAGCAACAGCAGAAGAAAGCAGATCAGCACCTTTCGCTTAACAGTGCCCGGTCAGTGGCAAAGGGCTGAGCTCTAAGCTGCTTTTTTTTTGGTACTGAAGCTCAAACTCGGGTCCTTGCACTTGGCAAGGTAGGCAGCAGAACCACTGAGCTAAATCCCCGGCCACTTTTTTTTTTCAGCTCTAAGCTTCTGCCTGGACACTGCAGCCTGGGCTCTTCCTCCTCTGGGATTGCCAGCCCGGGGTACAAAGTGGGTTCAAGGCCAGTTTTAACTACAAAGTGAAACCCTGCCTCCAAAATAAATACATGCATGCATACATACCTACATATATATATGCATACATACATATATATGCATACATACATACATACAAACAAAATTTAAAAAGGGCTCAAGCTCTGAGGTAGCCCAGGCCCTGCCACTTGACTGAGCACCCTCCCAGCCGGCACTGGCCAAAGAGCTCAAAGGAGAAAGGCCTGATTCAGAGTGTGCGCTAGTCTCCAGGGCAAGCGAAGAGCAGACAGAGTAAAACTACAGTTGAAGCCAGGCACGCTGGTGCATGCCTGCAATCTCAACAGCACTCGGGGAGGCTGAGGCAGGATCGCCAAGTCTGTGTCCAGTTTGGGCAATTTAACAGAACTTGTCTCCAAAGGAAAAAAAAAAAAATTTTAAAGACAGGGTGTAGCAACACGCCTGTAAACCGAGCACGCCAGAGGCTGAGGCAGGAGGATCGCCGCGAGGAAACCAATACAATAAACTTAGAAAGAGGGTTTTGGAAAATTAGCTCAGCGCAAAAGCCCTGGGTGCAATTCCTAGCACCTCAAAAGAAATAAAACACGCAGGGCGGTCAGTCTCCCGCACCCCCTTGAGGCCGCGCGTCTGCCTCGCCCGCCGTGCTGGAGGCTTTGGCGCCCGCTCCGCCTCCTGCGCCCAGCAGGGCGGATATGCGGCCTAGGACCGCGGGGAGCCGGGGTAGCCGGGGGAGCGCGGAGGCCCGGACAGCGCAGGTCGCACGCACCCTCCTCGCCGAGGCGGTCGAAGATCTCGCGCTTGCGCGGGTCGCTCAGCACGTCGTAGGCCTCAGCGATCTCCTTGAACTTCTCCTCGGCCCCCGGCTCCTTGTTCTTGTCGGGGTGGTACCGCAGCGCCTGGCGACGGTACGCGCGTTTGATCTCCTCATCCGACGCGCCTCGGGCCAGGCCCAGAGTCTGATAGTAGTCCTTGCCCATGTCACCCGCCGCCCACTGTCGCCGACCCCGGCTCCGCCACCGCGCCGTCCCGCAACTCTATATACCCGTCCAGCGGAAGCTTCCAGAGCCCGCCAGCCCCCTCCAGAACCTTCCGCCCCGCCCTCCGAGCCGCACCAGCCAATCGTCTACGACGAATCCGTGACGCGGGACGTCCGGGGAGGGGTTCGGCCGCCAACCGCTGTCCGCCCGAGGTCACGTCCCTCCCCACTCTGCGCTGGCAACTCCTCCCCGCGGCGCACGCACTAGACAGCGGAGTCCCACCCACCCTGGGGCAACAGCCAATCGCAACCTTTTTTCGGTACCTCAATCGCCCTATCGTGCGCCCGCCTCCTGCCTGGGTCAATAGGTTAGGAGGCGCTTCTCCCATATGGTAGAACTTCTGTCCCCACATAGGGGCGGAAAGTGCCTACCAGCGGTAGGCAGTCCAACAGTGCAGTTGGAGTCAAAGGCTGCCCCTGGTCCTCACCCCCAAGACCCCAGAGACCTGGGAGAGGGTCCTTTCACTTCATCATCTTCTCAAGAAACACGGGCCAGTAATATATGCACTAGGTAGGCCGAGGCAGGAAGATCGCTCAGTGCAAGGCCAGCCTGGGATACAGAGTGAATTCAGGGCCAGCCTCAGCCACATAGTGAGACCCTGTCTCAAAATACAAACAATAGAAAGAAAGAAGGGGAGAGAAATTGCCACTCAATCTGAAAAGAGCTTGGTGTTGGGCTTTCCTGCTCAATGTCACTCTGAGGTTGCCACCAGGGCGGACGCTTGGCGGGCCCTGACCAAGCTTGGTTCCCAGAGGTCTTCTCCCTGTGGGCCACTGTGATCCTGTTTGCCTGTGAAAGTCTGGGGGTGCCTGTGGGGAAAGGAGCTCTAAAGGGGTACCCCTGAGAAGGCCCTAGGAAAGAAGTGGGGTTCCTGGAAGACCAGGCTGGAAGGTTGGGGCTGTATACTGGCTCTGTAACTGGGTGTGGTGGTGCATGACTAATCCCAGCACTCCGGAGGCTAAGGCAGGAATATTGAAAGTTCAAGCTCAGCTTGTGCAATTTAGCAAGACTCTATCTAAAAAAAGTTTTATTTATTTATTTATTTTTATTAAAGGGCTGGTAGCTCAGTGAGAAGGCACTGGGATCAATCCCCAGTACCACACACACACACAAAACCAACCAAACAAACCAAAAATAAACAAAAAAAACAAACTGAAAGCTGGGTGTAGTGGTATATCCCTATAATCCCAGCACTGGGGAAGCTGAGACAGGAGATTTGCACATTGGCAAGTAGGAGGCCAGCCTAGGGACCCTGTTTCAAAAAACAGCAAAAACCCCAAAACAAAATAAAAAGCCAAGCAACCAAAAAACAAAAAAATCAAATCTGGCTGAGGATGTAGCTCATGATAGAGTGTGTGTTTTGCAGCTGTGAGGCCTCGGATTCAATCCCGAGGACCGAGTAACAGCAAAACCCCAACACTAAGCAAAACCAGTAACTGTCCTTAAGCCAAATTGCCCTGGGCCCAACTAGGCGCTTCAGAACTTTCCTACAAACCTGCCCTCTACCAAACCTCTGGATCCAGGGCTTTGCATCCAGAGAAGCCAGGGCAGTGAGTTCTGGGCCAGAGCCTTGTGATTCAGGTAGATGAGACTTAGGTGTGGCTGTCCAGGTCCCTGTAGATGTGGGTGGATGACATCTGCAATTGTGACTTTAGCTCAAGGCCCCAGGATAATGGGGTATGCTTCATCCAGTCGGTGTGGAGGCTGGATAAGGTAACATTGCAGGTCCCCTGTGAGAGAAGCCACGGCTCTCCCTGTTTCCACCCTCAGACTTGCCAGCCCTCAAAGGATGTAAGCCAAATCCCTGAAATACATCTCTCTCTATGCTTTTTTATTTTTTTTGCAGTGCTGGGGATGGAACTCAGCATCTCGCACATAATATTCACGTGCTCACTGCCAAGATTCACGCCTAGCCCTGAAATGGATGTTAAAACACGCACACATGCAAATGCGCCACTTGTTCGGTTTCTTTGCTGAAACCTTGACTGATAAAGGAACTAGTGGCGAATCTGGGCTCAGTCACCCCAGCCCAAACCCTAGATGGACCTGCTATTTACTTAGTGATCTCGTGGATGCTCTTGCATGATGATTTCTCATGGTGCCTGTTTGTACTGTGCAAATGGAGATAAGAACAGATTTTATCTTCTGGTGTTGCTATATGGATGAAATTGAGAGGGGCCAGGAAATTAATGTCATTATGAGAACAGTGAAGCTGGGTGTAGTGGCCCAAGGCTGCAGTCCCAGTGAGGCTGAGGCAGGAGGACCTTCCTGAGTTCAAGGCCAGTTCAAGGTGACACCCCATCTCAAACAACAACAATAACAAAACAAAGAAAAGAAAAACCAGCTAACATCAACATGGTCAATCTTGTTCCATGAGCTCTATGAGTTTTAGCTCATTATTTTGTTTTTTGTTTAGCTCATTATTTTATTTTTTGTGTTTGGTTGTGCTGGGGGTTGGAACTCAGGGCCTGTGCAAGCCAGGCAAGCGCTCACAACTGAGCTTCTGTTTTTGTCTTGTTTTCTGGTACTGGGGATCGAACTCAGGACCTTGCACTTGCAAGGCAGGAGGCGGCACCAATGAGCTAAATCCCTGGCCCAAGCTTCTGTTAACTCATGGAATTGCAGAACCACCCTAAGAGTTGGGGCTGCCCTGTCCAGCGTGCTATGTAACTGATTGGCCACTGCAGTGGCCAGAGTTGGACTCTCCTTACTCCAGTGTACAGCTGGGGAGACTGAGCCTCTAAGCAGTCACGTGACCTGCCCAGGGAGACCCGGTGGGGGGAATGCTGATGTATTGGCACGCTGAGTGCTTGCAGTAAGCAGCTGGTGTGCAATGTGACTCAGATGGTGATAGCATTAATTGGCACAATAGTGTTACCGTTCTCTTCACCTCTTTACCTGCTGCTCAGTCTCCAACATGACAGCCGCAGGAGCCACCACTCCCCCAGCCCTCCAGGGACACTCATGTTCCATTAAAACAAAGTGGGTCCTCATAACAATAGGGCTTTATCTTAACTGAGGTTTCATGAGTAGTTACAAACATGAGTTAAAACCAATATGTCCTTGCTGGGTGCACCTCTGTAATCCCAGCTACTCTGAGGCTGAGGCAAGAGGATATAGAGTTTGAGGCCAGCCTGGGGTACATAGTGAGAATGTGTCTCAAAAAATAAAAAGGGCTGGGAGTGTAGCTCAGTGTTAAGAGTGTCCCCGGGTTCAGTCCCCAGTATTGGAAATAAACTGAGCCAGCCCAAACAAAAAACTATATAACCTTCAGTGGGTGAATGGATAAAGAAACTGTGATTCATCCACACAATGGAATATTATTCAGCCATAAAAAGGGATGAGCTCTGGGTACAGGCAAGAGTGCACATGCACTTCAAACACATTGTTTGTGAAAGAAGCCAGACTCAAAGGGCACTGTGATTCCATTTTCTACTACCTTCTGGAAAAGACAAAAGAGTCAGAACAGAAAGTAGATCAGTGGTTATCTGGGGCTGGGAATCTGCCACAAATGGGGCAGAAAGGAATGTTTAGGATGATGGAAATGTGTGCATTTGATTGTGGTGGTGGTTGCAAGACTGTATGTTCAGAACTGCACACTAAAAAGGGTGAATTTTACTGTGTGCAAATTATTACTTAGTTTATTAATTAATTAATTTTTTGGTACTGGAGATTGAACTCGGGACCTTGTACTTTCGAGGTGGGTGGCAGAACCACTGAGCTAAATCCCTGGCCCTATTACTTAGTTTAAAAGCAGCCAGTTGCTAGGCGTGATGGCACTTGGGAGGCTGAGGCAAGAAGATCTTGAGTTTGAGGCCAACCTGGGTTACACAGTGAGACCCTGTGTTGAGAGAGAGAGAGAGAAAAGAGAAAATGAGCTGGCACACAAATCCAGCTACTACGAAAGCAGAAGCAGGAGGATCCCAAGTTCATGGCGAACCTGGGCAACTTAGTGAGACTCTGTCTCAAAATAAAATTTCAAAAGGGCTGGGCATGAACTCAGACCTAGAGTGATTGCTTAGCAGGCCTGAGGCCCTGATCAATCCCCAGTACTATAAAAACCAAAAAACAGAAAACAGAAAAAGCCATGTATCCCAGGGAAGACAGGCTAGGGTTTGGGAGCCTGTCCCAGGCTCCTGACACAGCGGAAAGTTCCCAGCCAGCCCAGGCTTGTCTGTCTTGGCTCCCCTTCCCTCTGGGAACAAGCTGCAGCACAGACCTGAAAACAAGCTAGGCCAGGTTCTGGAAAGTCAACACCCTGACTTTCCTGCCCGTGGGAGACACAAGGACAGCCTGTGAGAGAACCCTACTGAGCACCTCACATCGCCACTGTCAAGTGCCCTTGGGTCCCCCACACCTGAGGTCTCAGGAGGCTCAGATCAACTCAAAGCTGCTACAGCCTAGGACCTCTCTGCAAGTCCCCCTTGAAAACGGCCTTAATAAAGATCTCATCACAATCGGCTCAGCAAGCGCTTAACAGGCCGGAGTCATTGCGGGGAATGGGTCAGTCGCCATGCAGAGCTGAGGACGAAGTTAGAACACAGCTGTCCCTCAGAAAGGCCTGGCAGGGGTGGCAGGAAAGTGTCACATTGGTTGAACAAAGTGGCCAGTCTTCATTCTGGGTGGCTTTCATGGCTGATAGCCTGGTTCCTGGGAGCCAGAGGAGGCGCACAAAGGGTTCCTCGTGCCCGTAACGCCCCAAAAGGGGCTGGGTGTGTGGTTCCCTTCTGTTGTCCCAGCTACTCTAGAGGCTGAGGAGGAAGGATGAAAGATGATCTCCAGAACTCAGGAATTTGCTGCCAGCCTGGGGAACACAGGGTCACTTTGTCTCGAAAAAAGAAAAAAAAAAGAGCCAGACACATGCCTGTGATCCCAGCACTTAGGAGGCTGAGGCAGGACCATCAGCAAGAGCTTAGGCCAGCCTGGGTTACATAGTGAGTTCTAGGCCAGCCTGGACTACAGAGAGGGACAGTCTCAAAAACCAACCGACAAACCGAAAACCAAAACAATAAGCTGGGCATAGTGGCTCTGGCAGCCTGAGGCAGGAAGATCATGAGTTTGTGCTTAAGGTGTGCAGTTTAGTGAGACCCTGTCACAAAATTAAAAGAAGTAGGGGGAGCTGTGGATGTAGCTCAGTGCAAAGGCTCTGAGTTCAATCCTTAGGACCTCTGATGAAACAAAACAACAAAGAGGGACTGTACTCTTTCCGGCTGGATTCTGCCTTTCTATGTTAAGCACTTCCTGTGATTGAGGAGGGGTGGAAATTATTTGTGTGCCTGGCTGGTGCATAATAGGTGCAGAGTGATGATTTGGTGCTTGTTGAATGAATGCTGGGTTCATAAAAGCAGTTGCAAAGGGGAGTTTCCATAGTGTGTGGAGTTCGTGGGAAGATGCATGGGATCTTCAAAATGACATCTGTTTGGATACAGTAATGAGTGGAAAAGTGAGACTAAGGTCAGATAGCATCAGAGAAGCAGGAAATTGGGAAAACTAGCAAAGTGCCAAAGTGTGGCTAGATTTTAAAGGTTCTATCCTACCTCCTTGGCCTTTCATAATTAGACGGCTCAACTAACTCAACCTGGTAGGGTTTAATCCTGTGGTCTCTGGGTAAATACTGACCCTTCACATCCCAAAAGGGGCAGGATGTGAGGTCTATTGGGACAGAAAAAGCCTTAGGATAGGCACCGAAACTGCCAACAGAAAAAACCCTTCAGTTTTAGACAGCACAGTGGCACACACCTGTAATCCTGCCTACCAGGGAGGCTAAGGCAGGAGGATCAAAAGTTCAAGGCCAGCATGGGCAACTTAGCAAGACTTTCCCTCAAAATAAAAAGGGCTGGGGATGGGGCTCAGTGCAATCTCCAGTTCTGCAAAAAAAACAGAAACGGGACACCTTTTTGCTTTACCTGTTTTGGCCCAGTTAGCCTGAGTGAAAAAGAGAATGAGTTTTTGAAGATCATGGCCTTGCTTTCCTGGACTCCAGCGACAAGAATTCCCAAAGGCAACAGTGTCAGAAGTTTCCTGAGTGGAGTCTGGATGACTAAGTCCCCAGCACTCACTCACCTTGGCCCAGACCTGCTTCTCTGACTCAGATTTCTTCCTTTAAGGACTTCTCATGGTGACCTGAGCCAGGCCTCTGAGTTTCAGAGGGTTCAGCAGCTGATGGAGCCTCAAGGCCAGGGTCTGAAAAAGGAGGAGAAAAGGTAAAGAAGTGAGCCAGGTTCTGTCTGCTTTCTTCTTTTTTTGGTGATACTGAAAATGGAACCCAGGACCTTGGCACATGCTTGGTAAGGGCTCCAGTAATGAGCTACAACCCCATTCCTTTTCAAATTTTATTTTGAGACAAGGTCTTGCTAAGTTCCCCAGGCTGGGTTCAAAACTGTAATCCTCCCACCTCAGCCTCCCAAGTAGCTGGGATTACAGACGTGTACCACCATACCCAGCTGTCCTAAAGTTTTTTTTTTTTTGGTACCGGGGATTGAACTCAGGTCCTTGTGTTTGCAAGGCAGGCAGCAGAACCACTGAGCTAAATTCCTAGCCCCATCCTGAAGTTTTGAGTGTGTGTGTGTTGTATGCTTAATCTTCCAGTAGGTCATGATGGAATATAGTCATGACCTCAGGCCAGCAATGTCCAGCAGAATTTGGGAGCCATGAACATACTGTGTCTGTGATTTTAGGATGCCATTTTCTTTTTCATATTCAGAATGAGACAGAGCTCAAATACATTTCCTCCTCATTTTTTTTGGTACAGGGGATGACCTTGTGCTTGAGAGGCAGGCGGCAGCACCAATGAGCTAAATCCCCAGCCCGTGTGTCTGTGATTTTAAATCATCAAATAGGAGGCTGTAAAGCAGTGCTAGAATGCCTGCCTAGTATGCATGAGGCCTTGAGTTTGATGTCCAAGCACTGAAAAGAAAGAAAGGAAGGAAGGAAGGAAGAGGTGCAAACAGGCACGTTAACAAAGTAAAAAGAAACCAGATAATTTAATTTTAATAACGCATCTTAATCCAATACATAAAAATATATTATTATTTCAATCTCATTTTCTTGGGAGGTTGAGATATGAGGATCACAAGTTTGAGGCCAGACTGGGCTACTTAAGGAGACCCTATTTCTTTCTTCCTTTGAGGTTTTTGAAAGTCTCACTATGTAGTCCATGCTGGGCTTGAACTCACTGAGTAGCCCAGGCAGGCCTTGAACTCCTGGTGATCCTCCTGTTTCAGGTGATCCTCCTGAGTGCTGAGATGACAGGAGTGTGCCACCATGACCAGCTGGGAAACTCTCTTTCAAAATGAATAAATGAAAATGGCTGGGGATATAGCTCAGTGGTCTCTCGGTTCAATTCCCAAAGCCGAAAAAAAATTATAATTTCAAAGTGTAATCAACATAAAAAGTTATGAGATAATTTTCTTACATTCACTTTTTCACCCCACGTCTGACATTAGCAGCACTGTACTGTATCTGACACGAAGAGTGTATCTGACACCGACAGAGCTCTGCTTGGACTCTGCACTTCCAGGCTCAGGCCGACCACACCGCAGCAGCGACCACACCAGAGGACGCCCAGAGACACCTGGGACCGTTTGCGTGGAGGCTGAGCAAGGTGGGGAGCAGGACAGCACTGAAGGCAATGCAGACACCCCAGAATGGGACTGGCTCAGGTTGCAGGCTGAAGTCCTAGGGAGCCTGACGTCACCTCCTTTCCTTCCAGTCCACTCGTGACTGATGGAGGATACCTGTCCGCGGCCAGGTCCCCTGATCCTCTCTCGACGATCCCCAGCGCCGAGGCGCCATCCACCTCGAAACTCACGCAGCCGCACGGCCCGCCTTGTGGAGGCTGCCCTTCCTGTCATTCAACTTCTTGCTCCCGCCTCCGCCAGTTGTAGTAACCACCGCGTCCCTTGGTTTCCACAGAGACGCCTCCAGGGGGCGGGGAAAAGGAGTGGGAGGAGCCGACACTCCCTTTTGATTGGTGGTTGGTCAAACTCCTTCTTTTAGTCACTCCTACCCTTGCTCCACCTCCTCAGTGGGTCCCGAAAGGTGATTGGTTGGTCCTGTGGTGCGAGCCGCTAGTCTTTGATCTTGTTGGCCCTTTGCAGCGAGGCCGAGGGTGGGCACCCCTACTGCTGATTGGCGAGGGGCGGGGCGGACGCGGAGCGCAGTTAGTCTAGGGCGACTGTCGCGAGCACGTTGAGCCACCGTGTGGGTCGCGCGCAGGTAGTCAGCGGCAGTCGGAGCGGGAAGCACCGAGTAAAGGAGCCATGAAGCACTATGAGGTAAGAAACAAAGAAGCAGTGACCGAGCGGACACCGCCTTATTATTCGTTTTTTTTTCCGGGACTACAGGACCCCCCCATCTTTTCGTCTGTTGCCCCAAAGGGAGAGCCGGATGGCGCAGTCGCAGTGGGCGTGCGCTGCGCCCCGCGGCCACTCGTAAAATCTAGTGCGCATGCGCGGAGGAGGTATTTATAAATCTGCAACCCAGGCTGTTTTGGGGGTGCCTTTTCTTGGGGTCTCTAGGGCCTGGGAAAACCTTACAGAGTGCTTGCAGCTTTCCCAGTTGGCTGATTTGCATACGCGGAACTTGTGCTCCCGGTCTGAGGGAGTCTTGCACAGATCTTGCGCCTGCCACCCCCTCGGGCAGACTCTGCAATTAGCCCTCTCCTGGGGGTGACCTTTGGACCCCATCTTCGTGCGGGAAGCTCCCCAAGAAGTTCAGCAAAGGAGATGCCGCCTGGTGCGTAATCACCACGGAGAGATCTTATGCCACAGTCACTCTTAAAGCCCAAGTCTTTTGACTCCTAAGTTGAGACTTTTTCCCTTAAAACGAAATCGTCTATTGTGCTTATCGACTTAGCTGACAGTATTGATGACTATCAGCTATTGACGACTAAATCACTGTCATTAAACTAATATATTAACCTTTATAATAAGAATAATTTAGCAAGTGGTTGCACTTGTGCAATGATCTATCACCTTCTTTCCTTTTCTTTTTTTTTTTTTTTGCGGTACCGGGGATCGAACTCAGGCCCTTGCACTTGCAAGGCAGGCGCGGTGCCACTGAGCTAAATCTCCGGCCCTATGTCACCTTATTTTCATCCTCATGGCCCTGAAAGGTAGGACACTATTACTCTCCCCATTTATGTAGGTGAAAAAGGTCTTAAAGATGTCATGACTTTTCCAAAGGCCCTCCAGCCAAAAAGTTGGGAACAGAGAGGGAACCAGCACTCCAGAGACAGAGTTTTTTTTTTTTTTTTGATACCGGGGATCGAACTCAGGCCCTTGTCCTTTCGAGGCAGGTGGCGGAACCACTGAGCTAAATCCCCAGCCCCCAAAGACAGAGTTTTTAGTCACTTTACCATGCAGATCCTTAAATGAAAACTAGCAAGTCGAAGTTTTTTTGCTTTTGTTTTTGGTACCGAGGGTCAAACTTGGAACCTTGCTTTGCGAGGCAAGTGGCGCCACTGAGTTAAATCCCCTGCCCAGGCATTTTATGTAGATTTCTTATTTCCTCCACCTCTGAGATTTAAAAAATTGTGGCAAAAAATGCATCAAGTCTATCCTATTTTGAACAATCAGTATGTGTGTGTATATATATATACATGTCA